GACAGCAGTTGTACTCTTTATTTCGGCTCCTAGGAACTGTTGTACTTGTTAATCAGCAGATCTATTCTGCGTAATACAACATGGATCTTCAAACTGAATTACAAGCTTAAGATGAGCGGATAATCTATTTCAAGGAACATGTAGCAAAATCGATGCTTTGAGAAAGCAACGAAATCCACATATTGTGTACTAATCCGAGTTCTTAGGGCCGTCGTCAGGTGTACACTAAATTTTTCCAAATAAACGACTCTTATAAGGCACCTTACATTTTTTATACAGTGTGATTCTTTTTTTAATAAACCTTTTATCGAAGAGTGGCCGCTGTATGTCGTCATCTCATTTGGATTGAATTTTGTCACTTCTATCCAGCCTCTCAGATTTTTGCACGTGACGGTAAACTGCGTGTCAATTAATGTACAATCTATTCAAGTTCACGGTGTTTAAGGGAACGTGAGCTTTTGCATTTGAACATCCGTATTTTAACATACATGGCTTCTCTAAATTATCGGTTCGTCTTAGATGGGAAGCCCTTACCACTGTGAGTTCTGTCAAAATCAAATTGAGTTAAGTACCCGGCCTGTGCGTGACCTATTGGGACTGGTAATTATGTCTTTCTGTTGTCAGTTGCTACTTATGCATTCAGAGTATTCGGAATGCCCCAAAATAAGGTTTCTTATTAACTATGGAACATCTGAGTTTCTAAAATTACAGTCCATATGCTTCGTAATGCTTTCTTAGCGGAAGGACCACCCCTGTCTCGTAGCTCAAACTATAAATATGTTTCTGTCTCTTGCAAGGGAGCACTACTCATTTCTTAGTAAAGTTATGTTAACTAGACGTATTCAATGAAAGTTAATAATGGTTATCAGAGGGCACTTACAAGAGCAAAATACAGTGTACTTTCAAAATAAATTAATCACTATACCTTTTATTCAAATGATTTGAAAACTTTAAATTTTAAAATAGTACTTTACAAACCTGGAGAGGTCAGAGTTTGTCTTCAATGCTGGCATGTGTATAAAAAAACACCTAAGACCTTGAAATTGGACAAAATATTAACATACGTAGCTTTCGATAAATCTCTCTCGGGCCGTTACATTTATATAGGGAGGGGGTACAAAGTAACATGCTGGTAATCATGGTATCAGAAAACGCAAATTAGTCATGGGGATAAGGGAGGGGGCAAAGGGTTGATAGTAATTAGCTAGTTGCAAGATAATGAGGGTTTGTTGAGTCCGGCAGGAGATGGGGGGTGGGTTAAAGCGGTAGAAAGCGCAAAAAGATGAAGGTAGTTACGTC